GACCTGAGCCAAAATCAAGAGTCGGATGCTTAACCGACTGAGACACCCAGGCGCCCCGTTTCTCACATCCTTAAGTATTCTTACGCCAGGCAGTTTTTCACGGCTTCATAGCTAGCTGTTGTATGGACGTACCATGATTTGGTCAGTGGTTTTCCTGTTGTTGGGCACTTCACTGAGACAGTAGTCAGAGTCCAGTCAGGGAAACAAACCACACCTGTTCTTTTAGTAAAAAGATTTAATTAATTAAATGTTTTTTAAAAAAAAGGCCAAACAGGGGTTGAAGAACTGAAGGGTAAAAGGGTCACTGAAGTGACAGACATAGTAACTAGAGGAAGCAGCTTCCATCCCTAGGGCTGGCGAACCAGGGGAAGAGGTGGGGACATCATGGATGTAGGAGCCTGAGGAAGAGACCCCACACAGGTGGGACCAGACCTGTGGGGAGGGGCTGCTTGCCTGCGCGCTTCCTTTGGGGTTCAGAGGCGGGGCTCTGATGAATGGGACTCAGACCTCTGTGAGGGACAGTGCTCACTGCTGGTGCCTCTGGAGCTTGGAGGGCGGGTCCTGTGGGGCAGGACTCAAAGCTCTGGGGCGGGGGTACTCTGGCTGGCTGGTGCTGGGAGGTCTGAGGGGGGCACGGTGAGGCTCGGTCTGGGGTTATGGGGGGAAAACTATACACTGGCACCGTGTGCCTCTCTCAAGGTGAAGCCTGGTTGCTGGGGTGACGCTGTCGGGAATAGAAGGCAGAACTGGGAGTGGGAGTCCTGGCTTCCTCCTCCCGGCTTGCAGCCTCCTTCTAGCGCCTCCTAGTGGTGGAGCCTCTACTGAACAGCTGAAAAGAGCAGAAGGGATTGCCCCAGTACCCTAAAGCTGAATATTAGAGCAAAGTGGGTTTGGAGCGGAGTGGGAACTGCTTACTCACCAGTATAGCTGATTTCTCATTTTTTGAATGGTTATAAGAATGTCTGTAGCTGGGGCGCCTGGGTGGCTCAGTTGGTTAAGCATCTGCCTTTGGCTCAGGTCATGATCTCAGGGTCCTGGGATCCAGTCCCGCATTGGGCTCCCTGCTCAGCGGGAAGCCTGCTTCTCCCTCTCCCTCTGCCCCTGCTAGTGTTCTCTCTCTCAAATAAATAAAATAAAATCTTTTTTTAAAAAGAAAAAGAATGTAGCTATACACATACATAATTATTTCCTTATAATAAATTCCTTGAAAAATTGCTGGACCCGGATGTGGGCCA